AGAAAGAAAGAAAAAGAAAGAAAGAGAAAAGAAGGGAGAAATGGAGGAAGGGAGTAAAAGGAAGGGAAAGGAAGAAAAAAATGGAGGGAGGGAGGAAGAAAGAAAGAAAAAGAAAGAAAGAGAAAAGAAGGGAGAAATGGAGGAAGGGAGTAAAAGGAAGGGAAAGGAAGAAAGGAATTGAGGGAGGGAGGAAGAAAGAAAGAAAAAGAAAGGGAAAAGAAGGAAGGAAGGGAGGAAGGAAGGGAGAAAAGGAGGAAGGGAGAAATGGAGGAAGGAAGGGAGTAAAAGGAAGGGAAAGAAAGGAAGAAATGGAGGGAGGAAGAAAGAGAAAGGAAAAAAGAAATGGAGGAAGGAAGGAAGAGAGGGAGGAAGGGAGAAATGGAGGAAGGAAGGAAGAAAAAAGGAAAGAAGGAGGGAAAGAAGGAAGCAAGGAAGTTAGAAGGCAAGGAAGGAAGGCAATAACTATAGCAAGATAAACCAAAATGGCTCAAAAACTCATAACCTCTCTTTTTTTGCTGCTTTACTTGCTCCTAAGAAAGACATCACAATCCTCTGGATTTTTGGATTTGGAGGCAAAAAGCTTCTGTCACAACATTATGCCAGCTGCATATGATGCCAGGCATGATGAAGTTTGACTTTGGGTAGCTGTTCTCCTGCCTGGGTTTAATTTCAGCCTGTGGTGCAATCCAGCATATGGGCATTTCTTTAACATTCTGTGTATTGTTTGAATGCAGAAAACTGATCAATCCACTTGCTAATTGAGAAGCTTTGCACAAAATTCACTGGAAGGGAATATAAACTCCAGCTGCACCCTGAAAAACCTTGCCAGCGTGGGAGGAGGAGGGAGGAGTGTTTAATCCATTGGGCATAGCTGGGCAGCTCTTGAACAATTAAACCCCACCCTTGGTGGTGTTGTGGGTGGGGGGATACAGGGAGAGAGAAGGGGGGGGAAGGTCACTGGTACAAATTTGATTGGACATACACTTTCTAGCTTGTGGATCCTTTTAAAACTGCACTGAAGCTAATCTTTTAGATTTAGAGGTCTCCATCGCGAGATAGCAGGAAAATAAAATTTGGCAACATAGAAAGAGAAAACAGACTCTAATCTAGACTGGAGGGAAACGCTATAACCGTGATGGCAAACCTGTGGCATATGTGCCACAGGTGGCACGCGGAGCCCTCTCTGCAGGCACATGAGCTGTTGCCTAGCTCAGTTTCACTGCTCCTGCAGATTTTTGGTTCTCTGCTGCACATGCGGGAGACGTGGAGGCATGTGGGTGGGGGCAGTGGGGGTCACAAGTGCATGCACGGGGGGGTTTGCAGCACACACACCCCCAGTGCCCCATTTCTGGTCCCAGGAGGCTTCAAGGAGGCTTGCTAGGCCCAAAATGGTGTGCGGCGGTGTGTGTCACATGCATGGGGAGGGGCGGTTGTGAGCATGCGCGGGGGAGTAAGGTCACGGGCGTGCGTGGAGCGGTCACACATGCATGGGCAGGGGCGCAGGGCTCATTGCATTATGGGTGTGAGCATGGATGTCTGTGTTGTCGCATGCTTTCGGCACGCAAGGACGAAAAGGTGAGCCATCCCTGCTCTATAATGCGATGGTTGGACTACAGAATGTAACTCATCCTTCAATGGACACGCAGCACCTGGAATTCCTCCATTCACAAGGCTCCACGTTTAGTGGCTGGCATCGTTTCAGTTCTTAAGCCTGGTACCAAGAGCTGAGGTGGTACAGTGGTTAGGGTGCAGTACTGCAGGCCACTTCAGCTGACTGTTATCTGCAGTTCAGCNTAAACCAACCTAGGTCTCATTCACGGAGAAAGAGATTGCTTGCATTTCACTGCATGTGGTGTCTGCCTATGAGAGGCCTGGGCTTCCTCCACCCTAACCAGAACTGAAATAATATGAGTTATCAGTAGCACCATCCATCTCTGCTCTCCCATTTGATCTGTAGAAGCTTACCTATTCACCACATCAGGACCAAAGATGTCTAAAGTGTGGGTCTGGCTGGGTCAAACCCTTTTTACCCCGGACAGTGTCTTCAGAAGAAGGCCAGGAAAGATGGTGAATGGCCCACTCCTGACGTGGTCTTTTTTTTTAAATCTGAGTGGCAAACTTTCCTGCAGATGCTACGAAGCCTCCAGGTTGAAGGATTAGACTACGGGCAGCTCACCATCGTTCAGAACTCTTCTGAGAACCGAAACCACGAATCTCAGCTCGACAAATTGGAAAAGCCAGGGTGCAAACTATGAGTTTTCCTAAAGCGTCGCAGTGATGTCGTTCACTAGTTATCGGGCGCCGTAACATACGGGATAAGCAGCAACGTCTGAACATGCAACCAGATGCGCAGGAGAGTCTGGGTGGTGACATCATGCCCTGGATGTGGTCTCTGAACTTTGATATCTCCTACACCTTTGACCCTTTCAGATGCTAATCAGCACTCGTGAACTAGGCACAGATCCATAATTATTTTGAGCACCCGTGGAAAGGACTGCATAAATGGTCCCCTTGGGTTGCTTCTGTACTTTCCCTGCGTGTCTGAATTAGCTCCGGAGACAGAAAGAACCCAGAAAAATGCAGTTTTGTTGCTTATGTTTCTAAAACGCTGCTTGAAGTCTCCTCCGTTTCTATCAGCCATACAGGACTCTGTAGCAAATCACGTTAATTGATAGTGGGGGAATGTAATTGCATCATTGGGAAGTAGGTTTATTTATTTATTATTTCATTACCTTGCTTCTGCTGCCGGGGCCACTGATGGCTACCTCGTGTGGGAGCTCTCGTGCTGATTCCTTAAGGTACCACCATTGGATTTCCAAGGAGTAAGAGGCAGATCCACTGGCCCGAAAAGCACAAGGCATCTCAATATCATCTCCCTCCCTAACCGTCACATCTTTAGGAACTTCGGTAAATGTAGCTGAAGATAAAAAGAAGGACAAGGAAACTAGAGGGTAGCAGAAAGGAAGGAAGGAAGGAAAAAAGGAAGGAAGGAAGACAGGGAGGGAGGGGAAAAGAGGGAAGGAGAGAGGGAGAACCAAAGGGAGGAAGGAAAGGAAAGAAAGGAAGGGAGGGAGGAAGAGGAAAAGAGGGAGGGAGAAGCAGAAGGAAGAAGAAAGGAGTGAGAATAGAGGAAGGAAGGAAGAGAGGGAGGGGAAAAGAGGGAGGGAGAAGCAGAAGGAAGAAGAAAGGAGTGAGAATAGAGGAAGGAAGGAAGAGAGGGAGGGGAAAAGAGGGAGGGAGAGAGTGGGGGCAAAGGAGGGAGGGAGGAAGAAAGGGAGGGAGGGGAAAAGAGGGAGAGAGAGGGGGAGAGGCAAAGGGAAGAAGGAAGGAAGGAAGGAGAATGGAGGAAGGGCGGGGGGAAAGAGAGGGGAAGATATGAAGGAGGGAGGATGGGAGGGAAGGGAAGAAGGGAGAAAGGAGGGAAGGGGCGAAGAAAGAAATGAAGGAAAGACAGACATTCCCAAGTACTTTTGCTAAAACCAGAGAGGCAAACCAAAAACCCTGCACCAGGGCAATTTCTCAGCCTCCTTAAACCCATGGAGACATTGTCACACAAACTGGTTCCCTGGTCGTACACAACCACAAACACTGAGAAAGAAAGAAGGAAAGGAAGAAAACAAAAAAAACCCCAAAGGAAATCTGAAAGGCATCTAAACAACCCCCCCTCCCGAATGCCAAAGACCTTCCTGAAGTCGTTCTTCCAATTCCGAATAGGGCACCCATCTCCCTGCGTGCCAGCCAGTAAGTTCACCAGCCCTCCCTCCTTCTGAATGAGGGACTGGGGAAACCCCCCCTTCCTCCTCCCCAATACCAGGTAGACACCCCCCCCCTCCCCATCACTGCAGTCTCGGCACCCATCCATGTCAGACAAGTGGCTAAGGAGCCCCTTTAAAAGTTTGCAGAAATCCTTCCTTCCCTCCCCTCGGATGCCCACGTCCTGGGCTCTGCCAGCACCCATGCTTTGCCCCCCTTTCGGCAGCTGTGAGGCTTCGGGAACGGGCGTCCTGGTTCCCCCCACCATTTCCCACAGTCTCCGGTTTAGCTTTGATTTTCTTCCGCCCTCTCTGCAGCAGAGTGCAGCTGGCCCCCAATCCTGCAGCTTTGGCTGGTGTGTTTTGCACGCACCCTTTGGCTTCAGCCTCAAAACCGTGCATTTGCAGCGCGGGGGGGGGGGGCTACTTATGACCCATAGCTGCCCCTAACAGAGAGTCATTTTTTTTCACCCTCCGTTTCTTCATCTCTCTCTCTCTGTGTCTCTCTCTGTCTCTCTCTCTCATTTCTCTATCCACAAACATGCGTAGCAATTTAGTGTTTTGCCTTTCAGAAAACAGATGTGTTAATAAACATTGCACTGATTTTTAAAAAAATAACTGTGGCAACTACACAGAAGGGTAAGCTCTCCGGCACTCCCCTCCTCCCCTCCTTCCCCTTGCTATTCACGTCCGACCTGCCTTATTTTGCTACCTAGAGTACCCAAAAAAGAAAAAAAAAAGAGAAGTTTGCGGACTTACCCTGTACTAGGAGCAGCAAAGGGGCATTAAGCATCAAGTAAGACAGGGCGCCGAATAGCCCTCGATTTTCCATCTCATAAATGTATCCTTTAAGGTGCAAATGAACAAGAGGGGGGAAAAAAATTGGGAGGAATGGTCCTCACTCCGCCAGGCTAGGAATTCTTAAATCCCATGGCAAACCGTAGATCTCTAGACAAGAGTGTTGGCCACCGGTTGTCCAGGATTTGGTTAAATCATCATCATCATCATCATCATCGCCACCGCCACCATCACCAAAACAAAACAAGAGATGGCTTCTAAAAAATCAAGACGCCTTCCAAGTCCAATAGGCTCAACAGTGTGGTTTTCGCCTCCCCCCCTCCTCCTCTGCTTCTGGAAGCTCGAATTAAATCCACATCCAGGTGGCCCCAAGGAAATCCAATGGTCATGAGGTCTGGAAGCTTGGATCCCGAAGCACACAGAAGGGTAAATCTGGTCGGCTTTTTTTTCCTCCCCCTTCCCCAAACGCCCCGTCTCTCCCCTTTCCTAAGGCAAAAAACCCCCCTCCGGTTCAACTTCCTTGCGTCGGATGGGATTTTCCGGTGTCCAAAGAGAAGGAGGAACGCCAGAATCGGCTGGCCAGACCCATCGGAGGTCGTGTATTTTTGGCTTTTCCCCTTGCCCCCTCCCCGGTTTCTCTTAAGGGGTGGGTTTTTTAAGCTTCCAAAGGAGATGCCTGATCTCTGCAATATTCTTCTTTCTCTTCCGCCGCGCTCTGCTTTGCTCCTGCCAGATAGATCTGAAATCTCTCTCTCCCTCCCTCTCTCTCTCTCTCTGTCTCTTTCTCTCTCTCCCTCCACCCCAGCGCTGCAAGGTCCGAATTAAACGCAGGAATCAAAAGGCTGAATTCCTCCTGCTTTTTTTTTTTTTTAAAAAATATTTTTTAACCCCCTCGCTTCGCGTCTCCAACGAAACACACACCGCTCAACCTATGCGAGGGACTTCGCTAGCTGACGTTCCCGGAGCGAGGCCGGTTCCGAAACGGAGACGGCGGGGGTGGGGTTAGGAAGGAAGGAGGGAGGGAGGGAGGGAGGGAGGGAAGGGGGCAAAATTAAATTGTGCCTCCCTGAAATCAAAAGGGGTCGCGTCGGAAAGAGACACGCCCCCCACCCCCAACATGGTCCCATCGCGCCATCCAAACTGGGGGAGGGAAGGGAGGGGAGATGGAAAGGGAAGACAGATCCCCCAAACTGTCCGCCTCGGTTGTTTTTTTTTGGCTTGTCTGCTCGGTCGTCTTGCTCGAAGAGGGAGGGAAGGGGCAGGGAGGGGGCTGGGTGGGAGGAAGGGGAACCCCTTCCCTCCCTCCCTTCCTCTCTCTCCCCCTCCCTCCCTCTCTCTCTCCCCCTCCCTCCCTCTCTCTCTCTCTCCTCCTCCCTCCCTCCCTGACCCTCCCTCCCTGTCCCTCTCTCTGTGTGTTTTGGGGGGAGGTAGCCGACGGGGAAGCGCCTTCCGCGAGAGACCAGAGTCTGGTGGTCCCGAAGTGCGCTTTCCCACGTTCATCCCACAGGAGCCTTGTCCCAACCGGGGAGCAAGAGGCGTCGCTTGCCACGAAGCTTCCTTTTCTCTCTCCCCCCCCCCCCAGCCATCCGGGCTAACAACATTCTAGCAGGGCCGTGTGTGTGTGTGTGTGTGTGTGTGTGTGTGTGTGTGTCTTTGGATGGATCTCCCTTGCTCCCCCCCCCCCGGCAAAAGCGCCAATTGCGCTTCAAGTTTCAGCAAAACAAGAAATAAATCGGGTGGGTGGGTGGTGTGTTATCAATCTAAGAGACGCTTCTCTCAAAACCCGACCCCTTTTCACAGGTCAGGGGTGTCCTCCGACGTCTGGACGCCCCCCTTGCAAACGCACGGGACCACCCCCCCCCAAGCCCCTCTCCACTCCCCCAGCAATAGTGGCCGTCACTCCCTCCTCCTTTTTTTTTACTATCGCTTTTTTCTTTAAAAAAGCCATTCACGACCCAGAGAGACCCCAGAAAAAAAGGGGGGGGGTTAAAAGGAAAGGGAAATGAGCCGGTGGGGGCAGGGAGGGGACGCCCGAAGGGGATTTAGATGGCCCGGAGGTCAATCAGATGCCATCCAGCTCTTCCCCAATACCCAAATATTGTCTCTTGGTGGTTCAAACGCGGGATGCGGCTGCCTCTAGAGGAGCTGAGGGAGCAAGAAAGCTGGAAGGGGGGAGGGAAATAGGGAGGGGGGGTTGTTATCCCCCTCCCCGTCTACCCTAGCTGGAAGTCTGCATTGGAGAGGCCGAAGCGTGCCGGAGCTCGGACACAGGCCGAGAAGACGTGGCGGTGGTGAGTGTGTGAGTGGTGGGAGACGAGGGGAGAAGTGGGGACCGAACAGGAGAGAGACTAGTTGATTCAGTTCAAGATGGATTTCCGGCTTGGGAGGAAAGGCTACTTCTGCTGCCGCTGCTGCTGCTGGGCCGGAGGAGCGAAGAGGGGGTGTTAACGTCTCCGTTTCCCCATCCTCAGTGAAAGGACTTTGGAGAGGGTGGGGAGTGGGGGAAGGAGATACTCACCTGCCCTCATCTGGAATTGCTGAATGTGGGCAGGGGGTGTTTGGAACCTCTTTTTTCCCCTTCTTTCTCAGAAAGCTAACTGGACTTATCTCCCCTCTCCCCTTGCTGCTCACTCCCTGTGGATACTTTAAGGAGAAGGTGTTTGTGTGTGTGTGTGGGGGGGTAGCATTATAGTAGGGAAGGAAAGAAGGGAAGGAGGGAGGGAGAAAGAAAAGAAGAAATGGAGGAAGGAAGGAAGGAAGAAAAAGAGAAAAGAAGGAAGAAATGGAGGGAGGGAGGAAGGAAGAAAGAAAGAAAAAGAAAGAAAGAGAAAAGAAGGGAGAAATGGAGGAAGGGAGTAAAAGGAAGGGAAAGGAAGAAAAAAATGGAGGGAGGGAGGAAGAAAGAAAGAAAAAGAAAGAAAGAGAAAAGAAGGGAGAAATGGAGGAAGGGAGTAAAAGGAAGGGAA